TCAAGGGTTCATGAGGGAGGGGAAAATGAGGAGCTGATACCAAAGGCTCAAGTAGAAAGCAAATGCTTTGGAAATGATAATGGCAACAAATGTACAAATGTGCTTGACACAATGGATGTATGTATGGATAGTGATAAGAGTTGTACGGGTCCCCAATAAAATGATTTTTTTTTTTAAATAAGACAAACAACATAAACATAAGGACCTTCAAGTAGTATCTCACAGAGTAACACCATGGGACAAAAAGAGGTGAATGGTTAAGTAAAATACACGGTAGACTGCCACCGTCATTAAAAATAAAATTTTGAAGATAACAGAAACAGGCTAATAACAACGTTAAGAAAAAATGCCAGATTTCAAAATTGGATTGATGACATGTGGATAATGAGATAAACTATGCTGTTTATTACAGTGAGCAGGAAAGAAAACTAAAGATGACCATGGCAGAACCAGAAAGATTTCCAAGGACCATCACCTTCGTTTCTGATTTCCTTTAATGCTGTCATTGTATTTGTGGAAGGAGATAACAGAAGGTAACTTCAACTGAGGAACTAGCGTGCCCTCATTTGTCACACTACTTGGAAAGGCAAAATAATCTGAAAGGCGTTTCAACAACCAAGGAAGAGGAAGCAATTTCTAAAGTAGTTTCCCCTAGGATACATCATATGAACAGAGTTCAGAATTTAATGAAGTGTCCACTAAAACTCTATGAACGGTGGCCCAATTAGATTAACAAGAAAAAAGTACAGGGTGATCCATAAACAAATCAATGACTTTGCAGTGACAAAGTAGGTTGGGTAGGGATATAGGAGACTCCCATCAGCCGCCTATGGTATATAACGAATCCAGGGGACCTGAGCTATACTAAATTTCCCCATCTGGAAACAGGTTTCATCTCTAGTTCAAAATTCTCTGGCAGGAAGCAACTTCATCCCACCTAGAAGTTACTTAAGAATACAACCCCGGTTCACTCAGGATACTTCATTTTGAAACGTGAGATAATTTAGAATGGTAAGTTGAGATGACTAAATAAATCACGTTAATGATTTTATGTTTTATTCATTTAAGATGGTTTCTGAAACCTGGAAACATCTTATAATCATATATAGTTGGTGACATTTCTCTCAGTAAGCAGTGTTTTGTCTTTTCTTTGCATTTCTGTGGCACATAGAGTACTTTCAGTAACCCAGTGCTAAATCTGAGCTCATTCGGGAATGGATTCTGTAACACTGAAATAATCTGTACAGGTTTAGTACTTAAAAATAATTGCAATGCTGGAAAGTTTAGCAAATTACTGTGTTTCTTGGATTAGCTTTGAGATTTCCATCTGAACTGTTGTGCAACTTAATAACTAATTTTTTACTTACACTTTTAAATGGAAACACATAAAAGCACATGGCTAACTTTGTAAAGTGTTGAGGAATCCCAATAAAACAGAGTATGGTGTCTCTTTAGTGATTTCTAAGAGCTCATTTATGACTTATTTATAACAAGCCTAGGAGTTTTGTATTATCT